ATTACTGTCTATTAATTTCACCGGTCTTCAATTATTCATATATACACATTCTTAGATACTGCTCAAGGGTAAGCTCATGTAGAGCTACTTGTGAAGATATTTTTGTCCAGGGAAAACCACAGGAGTGTTTCATAATCTATTTGCACTTGATGGTTTATGTCTCAGATGAAACAGATTTCGGACTACCTAGAAGACACTTCTGTTTAATTCAAGACTTTTAAACTCTACCAGATAGGCTCTTATGATTTTCTTCACACGCTAGGTTCTTATCGTTCTGTGAAATAAAATTCCGCAAGTGATTTTAATGTCATTCAATTTTTGCTACTCATAAGTAGACTAATTCTAAAAGCTATATTTCAATGATTACCAATGGCGTGTGGTTAAGAAACTGGTTCCTAAAATATAGATGCACAAGACTTCAGGGGTAGATGTATATTTGAGAAGGACTCCCTCATATGAAATTTAATCTGATGCATCTGCCTCTGTTACACAGTCGTCTGAAATCAAATGAAAAATATATAGTTCGTAAAACTATTACTCAAACTGCATATAATCAATCAATGCCAGATAAGTAAGAGATCCCACTTGCTTATACGACTATAGAGAAACTTTTCATGGTATACAGATTAGAAAACTAGCATGTAAGAATGGGCATTTACACTATGGTGAGTATGATGCTAAGAGCTAGAGGAAACAATCCATTTACTACCAAGCTAGAACTTACTATTTGACTAAAGTAACACCAGTGTCATTTGAAAGTATATGAGCTACTTGTGTGTAGGAAGGAAAATCAACTACTTTTTTTCCTGGTTTATGTTCATCCCCATTTACATCAAACCTGGAAGTTAATGACAAACTTCATCTGAAGAGCAAACTCTTGTAAGGAGTACCAGATTACAGGAAAACGAAGATAAACTACATTAGTAATCTTCGCATTGTTTGAATGTACAAACTATCCATTTTGGCCTTATTTATGCATTCAGGGATTCTTTAAACACATCCAATATCCTTTTGTTCCAGCAACATAATTATTTTTCACATTATGCATGCATTTTTAAAAATATCACTGCTGGCTTTTATAAAATACTCTTTAAACGTTTGCCACCTTTGTATAGAACTGAATCATAGCATCATTACATGAAGTCTTTGACTATTGATTAGAACCGTGTAAGGAAATATAGGTTTCCCAGTTGGGGTACGTGTGACAACAGTTTCCAGTGGTTGGAAACCCTTGGTGATATGACTCAGAATCAACCTCAGTGGCTCAAATGTATCCACATATTATCTTCATATTAATCGTCATACTGAATTCAGCATATTCTTATTCCTCCTTTTTTTCTTTTACTACTTTCGACCGATTCTTTATCTTTCATCATTGCGCTTTCTTGCTTGATGTATGGTGTAGCAACTTGGACTGTTATTCAGTAATGTTCAACCCCATTATGTTGTTGGTATTGATAGAATACTGCATGCTGAACTCCTTCTGTTCATATGGTTAAGCTTCTGAACTTAGTAAATTTTACTTCAAATGAGAAACTTTTCTACCTCTGATATACTGGTTTCAGTATTAATGATTTTAGTTTCTACGATAAAGTTTGTGATCGTAAAAAAATCACCTAAGTGAATATTTAAAACAAATTTTCAGTTTTCGAGTAACATATTTCAGAGGAGAGAAGCTGGATGTATTATGCTCAGCCATACTTGATTCTTATCATATCACACTTCGTCTACCTGTTGTTTACATTTGCTGTTTCATATAACCTCAAGTGAAATCATAAAACCATATTCATTCACCTCCTGTCTTGCACTTTTGACCTTGAGTCTCCAATAAATCCTAATTCATTTGATGATTTGTGAAATATTATCTTGAGTCATATAAACGATTCTACTTACAGTAGAAGTGGAAAATGCACACACAAATTTGTTATTCTAGCATGGGACGCCTCAGAAGTGCGCACCCACGACCCCACCAGGGATCGATCTTCAGGTTCCGTGGCGGTTGGGCTAAATCGTAAGGTGACAGAAATTGGAAATATGGACCATTGGATTCTGACCCAGTGGTTAAATTTGTTATTGTCTCAACTTCCATAGCTTGTGAAAATGAAAAAAATACCAAAGAGAAATTTTCTTTGTGTTTCTTAATGGAAACTGGAAGATAGAATCCAGCAATCCCGCCGACTAAAAGATAGTATACTATTTAACTAAAGTCGTTATTTTATGACATTATGTGGTAGATCATATTAGGAGTTTCATGAATTATTTGTAACTTTCAAAATTGCTTGATCATGAAAAATATGGTTGATTGAAGTGCTACCTTTCAAATACAAAACGTAGATTAATGAAATTATTCAGTTCTTAACATTTTGACGAAAACTACTCAAGTGTTTAGCATGATAGTAATTAATAATTTATACATAAACTAGTTGTTCTTTTATGTCTTCTGTAAATTGTGAATATAAACCGTCATCAATTCCGCTATGATCACTCAGATCTACGCTATTTCCTATTCACTTATTTATTTTCTACAACACAATATTAAATAGAGGATAAACCAGGTTACCTTGAGTGGATTCCTCCACCTAAAATCTCTGGATTTCTATATTTTTTGTTATGATACTATACTGATCTGAGTTGATGACTAGTGGTTCAACCATGAGGATGGAAGTGGTAGAAGGCACTGACCATTTCACTAAGTTAGAAAGTTGTGTCGAACCGCATGTTTTAGTTACCGATGAAATCTTGGCATGTTTACGGAATTTCCACTCAGCATTTAATGATTTGTACTATCTGTGGTGCTAGTGAAACGTTTGACGATTAATCGAAGGAAGAATATGCTAAACAGCAGCTCAGTATAAACTCATCTGCGTCTCGGAGAAATGGCTGTTGAGAGTTGAAAAACTGAAGAGACTAGAGGTCTTTTATCGTAGTTAACATTGCTCACCTATGGGAAGATCACTGGTTGTACAATGTTGAGGTCATGCATGGAAAACTAGGCAAAGATTAGTCAGACTAGACTGTGAACCTGTAGCGGTCGAGTTTGTTTGGAGTTATGTTGACCATACCAAGCCACCAACGATCCCAGTGTGGTATATTGACTAAAGTAGGAAAGGAAAAGCTAAGAATAACCATGCCAAGGTGTCTCACTGGTTCCTGAACTTTCAAACTGCTGATCTGAGCCGTATAAGATGTAGACTCTCTACTTGGGATCCGCAAGGTTACAGGGGTTGGAGACTAACATTCAATCACAATGGTGTAGAAGCATTCGTTCAAAACTTCGGTGTAGATAGCAGAAAGCTGAATGGAATTCATTCACAAATAGAAATGAAACTGTAATTGCAACAACATTCAAAGCGTTTGTTGCTAAAGTGCGCAGTGATAACATTCAACGTGTACTTTGAGTATCATAAGCTGAGTTATTAACTTATTTACACCAGACTTGCTGCTATCCAGTCCATATCTTGAAAACTATTCACTCGCAAAGCATACTAAAACCACGTAAGCTCTAACATGTTATCTATAAGAAATAATAGTCAAAATGCAACATCCCAAAGAGCTCAGTGGTAACGTTGGTAGCTGCAGCACTGGATGACACGAGTTCCAATCTCAGGCAGGACATCAGTTCCATCGAGGCTGTAGATACCTCTTGCTGGAGTGTCAGAAAGCAATAGACCTAAGTCCACAGCCTTCTCCCGATCGCCTCCATCCAAATAAAATCGTATTTCAACCACCGGTATAACTGTAGTAAAGTGAACTCCCTCTCAGAGCGAACAAACGATCAATAATAAAAGGAATATTCGTTAAGAAGCATCTTACCGGGTCGAACATTTTCCAAGATACAATTAGATACGTGTAAATCGAAACAGTTTTCGCTAACATAACGAAATTGTCTACTCCGAATCCCAAAGGTTAATAAGCCATATAGTAACAGTAGGCTTCATACAACAGGTCATGCTAATTGTCCAATGCACGAACGTGCATGCGTTTGCTGAGTAACATTCTTTTAAAGTCAAGTAATACCGCTAGTCCTTATGCAATAGGTGTCGTTCACAGCCTAATTCGTGAGCTTGCAACAAGTTAGTGAGCTGTCTTATTTCTATTTGGCGAGAAATTCAACAAAATGCATTACTACTATAAAGCCTTCAACTTCTCGCTGGATGCACAGTTTTCATTTACTCGTAGCTTCTGTAGGACTACAAAACTGATAGTTTTAATATCCATTTTCTTCGCTGTAGTTTTGCCTCATGTGTTGAAGATAAACATTCTATTACTTGAGAAGTGTTTTTTGTCAGGAAAGCTGAACTCAAAAAATTGGTCAGAGGAAAAATCCAAAGAAAAATAGGAAGTGTATATTCAGTTGCTCTGTGTGAATCTCCAACACTACATAAACCAGTGACTAGATAATATTGTTGATGCTATGAACAGAAAGATCTTATTGTGACTCAACTAATTATCAATCGTAAATACAAAATGCTTGTCTCTTAGTAGTTCGTCTTTTCTACTTCTTCAGAGTGAAAATTGGAAGTGCAACAGTAATTATGATCAGGCGAAAATCAATCACTACAACTCGAAAACCGTGTACACGTTCACGTACTGAGTTACTTGTCACACCTTTAGTGTATGATTATCTAGATTTTGGAGGTCGGAGATAAGTCCAACCCCCTCCCCCCAACTTAACAGATGAAACAGCTTCACAGATAAAAAATAATTTTAGACTTTTCTGAGATTTATGGTAAGTTACTGTAATTTTAAAAGGGTAATAACCATTGTCACTAACCTCCCAGAAAATTCCATTTCCCTTAAAACACGAACAATTAAAAAACAAAAATAAACCATAGGTTTTGATTTTATACATTGACTATATTGAAAAGCTGAAAAATACATCAACTACCAATATAGCGTGGAGAAGGGGGAAATTTACAGTTTGCACAGAGAAATCAACGTTTGAAATGCATACAATTTTTGATTAGGACATTTACAAATAAAGTCAATACAAACGTGTGTTAACATCGACCATCCTGATTACTACTATTATTTTCATTATCAGTGATTGAATCAACATCAACAGATTTAACGCAACTCTGCTCTGTGATGAAAGATTCATCATCTGGCAGAGAATCAATTCTTTGTTCAGATATCATAACAAAGTCATTGTTCCCATCAACTGGAGTCTGTTGACTAGTATGTTCAACATCTATACTGGATTTTCTCAGTGATGTCTCATCTGAAAGTGAAAAACAAAACATGAAACGTTATCTCTAAATGCAACTTATCCAATGAACTGTGTGTTTACTAATTTCTCAATTCCAAAGAGTAGATTCTTCAATACTCATAATATAAGTCGCTTGAAGCTTATCACACTTTCCCTGGGTTTTTTGTTCTCAAACTTCATTTATACCTCCGTAAAACCCAGTGCAGAGTAGAATTTCACAACTCACAATGTGTAGTGACAAACCATAACAACCAAATACTTTTTTTGACAAAAACATTAAGGATAGATAAAATAGAAACTGAAATCTATAGTAATATAATAAACATCTGATCCCTGTAATGTATCTGATAGAAATGAAGTAATGATGAGAAGCACGCAAATTAAAGTTTATGTCTACGTAAGAATTCACATTTAAAAACCGTAGAAAATGGCACTGATGCCAAATTTCTGTAGGTGGTCGGCTGAATCTGCAAACAGTAAGGAATATACAACGTGATTCAGTATGCTTAAATCGGTTCTAAAAGCGATCAATAACGGCTAAGCTGTTGTACAATAACATGCTCGTGACACCCAGGGAGTTTCCTTTAGGTTTTAGAACATTCGATTTGTTGGTAGGTTCTGTTAAACACATAATATATCGAAATTGTAAATAATTCTAACAATCTAACAACAAATACATTGCATCGTAATGTCAGATTGTCTGGTTGAATGGTTAAAATGAAAACCTGATTGACAGAATATTATCAACACTGAGGACTGAGAAAAATGATAATCATTACTACTTAACCTAGAACACTATTCAAGCGTATAGAGTTAAGATTATAACAATCGGTAAGATGTTTACCTGTAACTGACAACACTGTATCCTGTGATGCTTCATTGATACTTCGATCTTCATTCTTTAAGTTTGTAGACTTGTCTGGATTTGAATCAGTTGTCCCATTGGAGTTATCTTGTTCAGTCTTCTGACATGAATACGAAGAAAGGATTCCAGAAGGAATATGAGATGAGTTACTGATGTTCGACTGACGATTAAATGTCCCTTTCTTAGCATGACCTATATCAATCATTAGAGAAGGGACCCATTTGTAGACAAGCATTGAAGTATCCTTGACGGCAACCCACTTCTTCTCCCTGAATAGTAGTCAATGTGTACAAACATAGATATATCATGCACCATAAACACAGGAAATCAGTCAAAATTCTAAATAACATCGTTAATTTCACACACGCACACACACTTAAGCATTCTGCAGTATCCCGAAAAAATTCTCCCTTACTCCACCTCAAATATTTGCAAACAAATAGATAAAAGTAGTTTTTAGTAGGAATGAAGTCGGTAAATTTTATATATTCTGCAGTACAAGAAAGTTAAGAGAAGCCTAAAACATGAATTCGAAATGTAGCACATACCGAACGAAGTTATTTCATCAGATGCTTACTACAAAATGCGAGGGGAAACTGTCATAACAATAGTACTTTTAGTTGCTGAGATTCGCAACGTATATATTGAGCTGAACTCTCTCTCACCAAAACACATCATCACATTAACTACACTAGTAAGATACAAAAATGCTTATGAATCTAAAAGCGAGATCCAATATAATTCTTTAGAGAACCATGTGATTTGAAGATGTGTTTAACAAAGGCAGACAATGCAACTAGATGCATTTGACCACTTGTGCACAAGAAGTATCCCTTGTGTCCGTTAAGACTTTTAAGTCAATAATGCCAAAGCTTAGTTTACTTTCAGATGAGCATCGTAAATAAGCTGATGAGGATGTGAGAGTATCAGATAAGATAGTTCTAATATTTCACAAATCACCTATTTCCTATCCTGAAAAACCTCTTGACCTGAAATGTGGGCACAGTAGAAAACAAAAATTGACCAAACCAAAATTGGGAAGAAACCAGATTTATCACTAACACTTTGTACGACATATACATGACAAAGGCTCTCTAGATACTGTCACAAATATTTCCAAAAGCGTACAGAAAAGCGAAAAACTAGTGACAATATTTGATTTAAGTGATACATTCACAGTTTGCCTTAAAGGATACACATCTACAGACCTGGCTTACCTGCTTTTCCCACCTATAATAAAAACTCTGTCACCTTACACGTAACACGTGCAAGTGAAACGCATGCCAAACATATGCAAGTTTCTTCTCAAATGGTTCAGAAGACCCTACATTTTGTCACCATATTCATCTAGCAGGACACTATCGTATCGATACTCCAAGTCAACGAGATTACCTAATACAGTAGGTCAGTCCCAATGAACTCAGACGCACCAAAGATTACGTCCATTAGTACGCCTAACACGAAGTTAAATAAGAGCAGTGATAGCGGACATCTCTGGCGAACATCACTGTTTGTCATCAATTCACATGACAACTCTCCATACCCCTGCTAAACTGTGTTTCAATTTGCTCTATCCAACGTTTTAGCCACCTATCCTCAGAGGCTATCAGCGTCTCATCATTTCCGGTGATGGTTCCACTAACCATCGTCTTCTCCTTCCCGGTATCCCCAATAAGCCTAAATAGTTGCTGAGTTTTATTCAACGGTGATGCCTTCTCCATCTCTCTCACTTTCATCACTCACTACTGCTCGCGAAAACTCTCGGTCAATTTGTTTCAGCTGCTTTCACTCTTTGTCGTGGTCAGAGCCCACTGGAATCAGTCTTAACGCAGCAACCAGTTCGAATGACATCGAGGAAATCTAATGACGCTTGCTAACCTTCGGATGTATGCTATCAATTGTCTTTACCGCTGTTTCTACAAAAGACTTTACATTGCGCCAGGTTTTTTCACGACGAGCATTGCTGTCACGTTCAGATAAATGCTTAACAATCTCCCTAAATGCGCACTTGATGTTCTCATCTTCCAATTGAGCACGCACAAGCTTTACTGACACCTGTTTTCTGAGACCAGTAAGGCACAGACATACACGTGGCCATATCAACGCCTGGTCGGGGCCTAAACAGAAAGAAGGGCAACCCTCCATCGATCCTCTTCAACGATGGCTTATAGCAATATGATCTACCTGTGTCCATCGTTGGTTCGATGTCGCAGGACACCATGTGAGACAGTGTCTCCCGCTATGTTTCAGTTTGGTGATGGCCAGAAACAAGTGAGTTTCATTTTTAAAAATCGCAAAAAACGATCACCGTTGTAGGTTCGTTGGCATGGGATTCCGTAGACACCTCCAAGATGCCTTTCTGATTGAGGGCTAAAGTCCCTTGTCGTTATGACTACATCAGAAAGTTTTGCTTTCTGTAGTAAGGTTGACAGCTTCTTACAGAATTCATCCTTTGCATCATCCGAACTGCAGTCGGTGGGTGCACAGGTGGAAACTACGAATCAACACCGGCTAGTTTTATGGTCCTTCTTAGTCCTTACATATCCATTCAGTCGAACAGCATACAGACGGCTGTTTACCGGTATCCAGTCGAGGAGTGCACTTTCGGCCCCCAAACTTAATGCTGTGCTTACACCAGAGGGTACATGAGCTAGCCATTGAATCTCCGGACATTTCTACGGTTAATTTTGAAGACAAACCGCATTGGACAAGTGATGTTAAGTTGATAACCACACTCGTGTCGTGTATATGTGTCTCAGGAGCATAGCATACATCCTTGGCTCGAGATCCCAGAGTTCTGGCGAGCGGTTCTTGCTGTCTGATCAGGCATAGAGTTCACATGTTGAAAACTCCAGTATGAAACTGACAGTAGAATCCTAGGAGATTAGGAATAGTGTTTCTATGATTTGGATAGTTGACAATGGTGGCAGAATGAGAAGTTGGGTAGGGCGTAAAGGGCTTAATACTAGTATCAGGAGGTGAAGGTAAAGGAGGAGATAGAGTTGGGGAGGATAGGTTATGTTTGGTTGTATCCTGTGTACCAGTGGAAGCGTGTTGGTGGTTTACACTTTCCGGCTACTCACACCAAGGAAGGCTATTCCTTCTTGAAGCCCCCGAAGTCGAAAGAGATTAGTGTGACCACAGAGCCAATGGGATATCTGATTGAGGTCTATTACACGTGGCCTTTTACGAGTTGGTGTTTTGAGGTTTGGTTGTTCGAACGCCGGAGAGAGAGGACCCATACCGCCAGCACTGGAAGACCGTGGGGTAGGTGGAATGTTTTGTTTTTTTTGCCGACGTTTTCTAACCCACCCACCCCTTTCCGTTGAGAAGGCAGCATTAGTATGGTATTGTTGGTCACCCAAATGAAACACCTTAATGCTGTCAAGCCCCATCTAACTAGCACCAGTACGACTTTGCCCTCAGACCCTTATCATACTGTGGTAACTTACACTACAACGGTAATTGCTTTCCGTCTTTCTGTCTATCCAACAGAGCCTTCTGACATGGTAGGAACTGGACGGAACAAGAGTTCTACCAGCATAGCTCATTGTGCCATTGTGATATGCAAGTCCGACTACCACGTAAATATAGCGGCTATTGATCGGGAGAGTTAACACCTCAGTTAACTTGACCAATAATCCTCTGCTATGGCCATTAAATACCTCTGTTACTAGTCCATTTGGACGTACTGCCCTACGTTGGTTCAGGTTACCTACAGCTTTCTCGACTCTTGTAAATCCGGGGGTCCAACCTCGATGTTCCGATTGCGATCCAACCGGATAGCGAGCAACGGAATAGTAGCTGGCGGCCAGTTGAACTGTTTATCAGTGTTCCGTCTGTCATTCCAGTCGTCTCCCCTCGTGATCGAATAATAGATCCACCCCTTCTTCACCATAGTCTCACCAACCATTGACCTTTTTGCCCGTTTCCTTGATAAGTTTAAGTAACTCTTTTACTGTGGTCTACAACGCTCCAGTTTAGTCTGTTTATTAGGAATGTTACGTACTGAAACAGTATCACAGGGCAACGAAATCCAGTAAATGATACCTTCTTACTGTGACATTTTTAATAAACAGACTAAAATGGAATTATAATCTACCAAAGTGCCCCAAGTTTTACTCCTATGTTTATGTTCTCAATGCTGCTTTTGCAGCAGACTGGAGATGTCATCGGGCTTCTTTCGGATGAATGATATTGTTCTATCCCGATAACCCCCTAGCCAGTTTCTCACTGCTCTCATTGCTGAGGTGAACTCGCAGTGGTCCTGTAGTCAATATGTCCCCACGTCTATTTAAATTCTGTGGATTCACCATATTGGCCAGGTGAGGTTAAGTGAGTAAATGCCCACTTGCGTTCTGTATGCGTCACACAGATGCAACACACATTCATGGCCCGAGATGCTAGAGTTTTGGCTAGTGAGGCTTGTTGATCGATTTGACGGACGGTGTGGATACTGAAAGTTTCAATATGTGGTATTTAGCGCGGTTTCAGAAGACCATTGATATGGTTTTGTAAACTCAGATCGTCGTCAAGAGCTGGGAGAAATTAAAGGTGTTGTAGGATTTTTGACCGAAAGATGTGAAAGAAGATTAGAAGTTAAGGATGCGAAAGGGGGGCAGCGACCCGAGGGGACTTGAGCGCAGTTGACAATTCCCGGCTAACCACACCGTGGAAGGTTATTTCTTCTTAAGGTACCTGGGAAAGAAGGGTTAGTGTGTGGCTGAAGAGAGCAAAGAACGTCTTGAGGCCAGTCACACAGTATTTTTAGAAGATTAGCTCAAATGTACCGTAGGCATAGAAAACGAAACCAATTCATCAAGTGGGTATGAAAGCCTATGAAGATAATGTCGAGACCATCCTAAGTTTCAAAAATAAAAAGCACTACATGGAAATGCGGGAAACCTTGATAATTATAGATACCTATCAAAAGGATGCGTTATTGTGAGTAATCAGATTTTCAAGAGATGTGTAGATTACTAATCACCCATCTTTGCCTACTTGGAGGATATTTGAGTCAGAAGTTATTAGTAATTCATGACGAAATCATACAGAAGCGGAACACTGCGTTATTTACTCCAGTAACTACTACAAACCAAACCATAAACACAAGAACACATGCAGTTATCTTGAAAAAGTAACAAAACGACTAGTTAGTATAAGCCAAATAGTCAATTCAATCTTTAGTACTTACACTAAGAATAATTGTTTGATGGCATTACGAATATCAACAAGTATGGAATTTAGAAGTTTTCAATAGTGCTGAAAATGACTCTTAGTACTTAGTTACAATGTAGGTTATTAAAAATGCTTCAAAAATAGGAAGGTAATGAAAGGAAAAACGATATATCTTACCAACTTCTGACCTGTTCATGTGACTTGTGAACTCTTTTTAAATCTTCTTTAGCTCTGCTGCGCGTTTCAGAACGCAAACTTCTGGAGAACATGGCGATTTCAAGTTGATAATGCCTTAGCTACTGACCAAAAAGGGACGATATAACTGTTCAAAAGCTTCTCTAACGACTAATTTTCTGAAGCCACAAATATAACCATGGAATGAATTCAAGCTGAAGGGAAAAAGATACATTAGTCACAATATCGCTACTTTCCAGTAGTTGCATAAGAATATCTCTCTTTAGATTAGTGCTACGAAGTACGTGGGTTACTTCATTTGGTCAGTCAATCAGTACTGCGAACCAACAATTTTACCACTTGCCACTAAGACTGATAGTCTTAACCATACAGTAGATGAACAGACTGACTTCATGAAGTGATAACTGGTCAGGAAACAGGTCTCATTCCGAATCTTGATAGCCATCATCATTGCCTTTTGTCTTGTCATGTGAAGTTGTGGTTACTTTGAATAGTTAGTGACATAGGAACAATAGGTGCTAACAGCCTTTTCTTAATATCTAGTCGTTTTAATCATCTTATGAGTATGATAATTTGCTGGGTTGTGGCTAGCAGAAGAATCCAGGATGCACGTTTCGTCAGCTGGATGTACCTGTACCCCAGTGAGCGATGTTATTCCCACTGAGACTCGAACTTCGTGCCCATCGATTGAAACGCCAAGGAGTTATCCGCTATGCCACGGAGTCACGATATCCACTTCTTGTACAACGGGTATTAGTTATTGCTATTTATTGATATACTTGTAATTCTCCGTTGTTTTATTGGATCGAATTCTTCGACCTGTATTAGCATATGGGCTCCTATGCGGGCTTCTACGCGCATCCTGGATTCTTCTGCTAGTCACAACCAACCAAATTATCATAATTAACGTTCAGGCAATATCGAGGCATCCTCATAGGAGCCCATATGCCAATACACGTCAAACAATTCGATCCAATAAAACAACGGAGAATTACAAGTATATCAATAAACAGTAACATCTTATAAGTCTTTAGAAAATCAAAACAAAACTTTTCTGAACGTTCCGCTAGGTCTGTCATAGCTTCTTCAGGACGTGTGTAACAACTAACGACTGGATGTTTATAATCCAGTTTCTTCGTCTATATAATTCCTATTCTGTGCACTAGAGATTTACTGCTGTAGCCACATATTTTGTATTTCATTGCCCAATCATCCTTAACCATTCAACATTGCAACTATTTAATACCTTTTTCCATTCTCTTGCTAACATTCGATAGTCAGCATCTCATAGCATCAAGCTAATTTGAGTGTTCAAATATTTCAACCTAAGCAATCTATTAATTTGCAATACAGCCCTATATGACTGATCAGTTCTGATCCCGTACATTTCGATGATGCACAAATAAATGAACTTCGTTGGAATATCTAAACTTTCTGGTGTGATATTATTTTTCTTTATGCTTACCACATACAAGTCACAAAACAAAACGAAATCATGAAGGAGAACCTCAAGTAGAGTACCAGTGCTTCCTTTTACCTGATGAATTTGGCGCCTAACAAATTACATCATACATTACTGATATATTTCATATCCCCTTAAAATAAAGTTCGTAATAAATGGATGTCATTAAATAAGAAGGCTTCGTATAATAAAAATAAGATGAAGTGTGTGGTGCTGTATGTTTATACAAGGAATTTTTGAAATCCAATATTTCGAAAATGATCAATTAAAAACCAACTGGTTTCTTTGTGCAAAAGGTGACTGAGATTGGTATGTGCCACTCTGGTTTTCGATATAAGGTTGGAAATCTCATCAGTTACACCTCTACCAGCGACCACATAACTCAGATACACTAAACTCTGGAAAATTTCCAACAGTTCAACACTAAGAATGAGTGTATATTCAAGTTTCTGCTAATGCCGTAAAATCTCCTTTCATTTTGACGGTGCGAACTATATACCATACTTCATCATCATCATTATCATCATCATCAACACAGGACTATGCATTAATGCATAACGGTCCGAGTTGCCACACCTCACATCAGCACATGAAGTAACAAGGCGATAAAATGGAAGATGAAGAGGGATAGGAAAATCAATCAAAAGCAATAGAAAGTAGTGGAAGGAAGGAAGGAGGAATGATATGATGAGACAAGTACTGCAGTCAAGATGAGAATAATGTGTGCATACATCTACGCCACTGATATCGGTTTTGAGCTATATTACCTAGGATCTCAAACCGCTGGTTTCACTAGTCCAGTGGACCCCAAACGCCTTGTCTGCATCACTCTACATGGTTCAAACGAACAGTCAAGGACTTCATGCATTTATGCCGTGATTTAGTGTGGTCATCGTGAGCCTTTTTCCAGTCTGAAACTACTTCGGTCAACATTGTGTGACGAAATAGACGGAGGCTAGGCAGATGTCGATGAAGGTTCACAACCGCATCGACTGAATTACCTCTCCTCCTAAAAACCCTACGCCTGACTTCTGTGTTACTCACCTGGTGACACCATGAAACACGGTCTATGCTACGAAGGTAAAAGTGGTCAAACACCTGAAGCCTTCTCATAACTTCTACCTTTAATGGTCATGTTTCACAGCTATATAGTAGAACACAGTAGGGTGCATCACAGTACACCCGACCCGTTATAGACAATGGTATATCATGGTGGCGCAACAGATGGCGTAAGCTGGCAAGCCTTTTGTGTCCGTCCAGATTTTGTCGGCCACTGACCCACTAGGGCTGATCCGACCTCCTAGGTAAGTAGTGTTTACGGTACTCAGCCACTTCAATTTCTATTGTTAGCCAGGGCACCGTTGAAGACCACTCCTGGAGCAACAAATTGTATTTGGATGGCAAGAAATGCATCCCAAATGTTTTCAAGTTGCTACTCCAGATGTCCAGAAGACTCTGCATCTAGTCAGCATCCTCACCTAACAGGTCCATGTCATCTGAGTATTCTAGGTGAACTAAGAGTTCTGTGATTAAGTCACTTCCTGTTTAGTCAGATTACAAGAGGGGGACCTCCATCAGAACGCCTATGATAAAATTGAATGACAACGGAGAGAGTGGGCACCCTTGACGAACACTATTCCACGTACACAGCTCACCCGATATCTCACCATAGGCTCTAACGCGCCTATAAGTGTTCGAGTAAAGAGCCTTATCCGGCACCCCAATGCCATAAGACTTCTTGATCGATAGAGTCGAATGCCGCCTTCAGGTCAAGAAATACAGTTAGTGTCGGGCGTCCGTAAGCGTGCCTGTCTTCCAGTGCCTGATGGAGTGTAAATATTTGATCGATACACCCATGGCTAGGTCTGAAGCCTGTCCAGCATTCTTAGGCCTGCTCTTCCCGAGCTTCACTTGGGCGTCTAGTGATTATACAACCTGGAATCTTACCCACTATGTTCGTTAGGCTGATTCCTCTGTGGTTATCATACAAGAAGACTTCTTGCCTTTCTTGAAGACTGGAATAATCTGTGGTTGAGATCAATCAGATCAATCAGATCAATCAGAGATCAATCGGTCATATTTGACTCTCATACAGTAGTTAATACTTCAGTTAACCTGACTAAAATCCCTCTACCACCGTCCTTAAACACCTCAGCAACTAGTCCATCTGGTCTAGCTGCCCTTCCTCGTTTCAGGTTATCCACCGCTTTGTCGACTTCTGTAAGTGTTGGAAGGCCTATGTCAATGTTCCACTCAGGATCCGACTAGATAGCGGGCAATGGAATAGTAACTGGAGGGCAACTGAACTGTTCGTCGAAATGTTCTGCCTATTATTCCAGTTGTATCACACCTACGGAATGTGAGCACCAGTAGCGTGAACAAAACACGACCTGCTCCTCAAAGATCAGCTCTTCATGCATTTTGCAAAACCTACGAAGTATGATGGCGACCGATGTTTTAGATGCTACTGATAAGCTGACGCCCTGATGATTATCACATATATTAAGCAGACCTTTTAGAAAATGTTTTATTGTAACAGCATTATTATAAAGTGATGGAACATTCAGCTTGCCATACCTTTTCAACCAGTATATTCAGTTCCCTGACTACAGTCTCATCTATATCTTTAGGAAGAATCCAAATCAAGTTGTCTGGGTCAGATGCCTTTAGTGCTTTATCCCTGATGTTTTTTTCTAAAACTTCCTCGTTAGGCAGTCTGATGTTGACCGACCATGAAGAACAAAACATTGAGGTCAAAGTTGCGGCGTTGGAGTAAACGGTTGTTTAGCATGCGTAACATCCTAGGCACTTCAAATGATAATTGGTTTACGACCTAATCAACTGATAGTTTCAATACATGGGAACGACACAAGAGGTGACAGTAATTGAATGCCTGAAATAGTTTAGCTTTCATCATCATGTTTCACATGTACAATTAACGTCACCCCTAGTAGGAACCAGATACCGTGCTAGGGCTACAAGTGACATAATTTGACGAAAGCTAATCGAATAATTTGTGTCGGTATTTCACTGGCTACCGATGCACCACGGCTGGTGCAACTTGCCACGCAACAGGGATGACCAACGAATTCAACTATTTCATTTCCTATCGACAAATGAGGAATACATGTAAACCAATCCTGAACTGGTAATATTTATTTGAAGAAATGTGCAACATATCTCTAACATTTTTAACATACACTCAAAGTGTACTAAGGACAGAACCTACAGCAAGTATAGCTAGTGTCGAGTGCCGGTATACCTCCAAGGTCTGGTGAAGGGTGGAGACCTGGTCAATACACCCACGGTCGTACTGCTGGCTAGACGGAGTGACAGGAGAAAGATGTTTCATGTGGATGACCAGCAGTCCATGCTGATACCTCCACTAGAGGAAAGCGGTTTAGAAAAGGTCAGTCACAAAAATAGCACGCTCATCTCTATTCTGCATTCTTCCGGTGCTGGTGATGTGCTTTTTAGCTGGATTCCAAACAAACAAATTTAAGTCTCGAACTCCCAAAACGGCAGTGTGACCGGCTTAGGCTCTATAGTCTTGCGAAACAAACGTTTTTTCTCTCCGAAGAAAAAAATATCACGGTGTAGGTAGCGGGAAGA